TGTGAATTAAAGATATTTTTTTTCATTTACATTTTAATCGAAGCATATTTTTAGGATTATATTAATATATATAAATTCAATAGCACAATATTACAGTCCATTCCATAAGAATGATGGTCAGTTTGCTAATAAAACTAAAAATTATTGTATATGGTATTCCATTGATTGACACATATATGCCTACGATAGTCCTTGGAATATAGTAGTCCCTGGAAAAATATAGTCCTTGGATTTAATAAATCCACGCCTAGGATAGCCCTTGGAAAGAATTATTTAATAAATCCACGACTGGGATAGTCCGTGTAAAAATTATTTTCAAAGCGTATGATTGATCTTGGAACAAATGTTTTAAACAATCTAAGTCCACGATAGTCCCTGGAAAAAATATTTAATAAATCCATGCCTAGGATATTCCTTAGATTTAATAAATCCATGCCTAGGATATTTCTTGGATTTAATAAATCCATGCCTAGGATATTCCTTGGATTTAATAAATCCATGCCTAAGATATTCCTTGGATTTAATAAATCCACTCATAGGATAGTCTTTGGATTTAATAAATCCACGCCTAGGATAGTCCTTGGATTTAATAAATCCACGCCCAGGATAGCTCTTGGAAAAAAAATTATTTAATAAATCCACGCCCAGGATAGCTCTTGGAAAAAAATTATTTAATAAATCCACCCCTCATGGAGGCTTTGTAAAAAATTATTTAATAAATCCACGCCTAGGATAGTCCTTGAAAAAGTATATATTTAATAAATCCATACCTAGGATAGTTCTTGTAAAAAATATTTTGTAAATTTACGCCTATGGTAGTCCTTGGAAAACATTATGTAATAAATCCACGCCCAGGATAGTCCTTGGAGAAGATTATTTCTGAAATTTACGCCCTGATAGTCCTTGGAAAAAAATATTTAGCAGCAAATCCACGCCTAGTATAGTCCTTGGGAAATATTATTTTAGAAATCTATACCCATGATATCCTTGGAAAAACTATATATTTCCTTGGAAATAAAAACAGTTCAGATTTTTTTTGTTTTCAAAAATTTTTTATTGGTTATATTTAAATTAATTTTTCCAGTGGGTTTTGTTTCCAGTTCCTTTAGAGACTGTATGTTTGTTGTATGATTTAAATAGTTGTTTGTTTTTTTTTGTTTTGTTTGTTAACATTGATAACTTAAAACCGTGGCTAAATTCTAAAAAAGAAATTAATATTAATTCTTGTTTAATTTTTTAACATAATTAATTATACATATATAAGAAGATTTTTTGTTGTTTTCATTTTTTTTTGCAAGTAAATATACGTATGTATGTAATGTTATCTAACCATGACAAAACTAAATATAAATCTAAGGTATGCTAAAAAAACTAATTTAATTAATACGTAATTTTTATATAAGTTCATAAAACTTATAAAGAAAATTAATATATAACTTACAAAACTAATTTTGTTTTTTCGTATATAATTAATCATTTTTTTTTATTTATTAAAGTATTATTACCATTTTAGCATTGTTTTTATAATTTTCGTTTTTCTTTACATTCAAAAAAATAAAAACAAAAAGCAAAATAATATTAAGCAAAAAAATATTTACACAACAAAAAATAGTACATAAAAAATAAATTTTGTAAATTAAAAGTAAGGCGTTTTAAATTATAATTTTTATAATTATTGAAGACATTTGTTAGAAGTTTTTCGTGTATTTATTTTATTAATTATTTTTAAAAAATAATAATAAATAATATTTAAAATATTTTTTCTGTTGAACCTATTTACATGTTATGTATTTAGTTCATTATTTTTAATTGCCTTTTTTGTATTAAAGAACAAGGCAGTTTTTTCTTTAATATTTTACATGCAACTAAGTATAGCTAGTTTATTTTTTAAGGCATTTTCTTTTTTCGTTTTGTGTAAATAATTTATTTAAGGCATTTTGTTTTTTATTAAAAGGCTTTCTTTGTGTAGCAAAACATTTTTTTATTTTTATTTTTTGTTTGTATTTCAAAAAAACTGGCACTTTTTGTTCTTAAATTTATTGTAAACTATTTTTCTTTTTAAATAAATTTTTTTGTTTTGTTTTATAAAATTAATTTTTAAGGCCTTTATTTTGTTGTTTTATTTAAATTTAAATTGTTAATATCATTTTAACAAAGAAAACAAAATAAAATAATAAAAAAATTGAATTTTTATTAAAGCCATAAATAAGGTATTGGTATTTTTAGTTTAAATATATATATTTTTTAAATTTCATTAAATATTCATGTTATTTCTTAAATGTAATTACTAAACTTAGATTTTTTGTCATATATTTTTTATTTTTAAATATAAATTATAATTAAAATTATTATTAATAATGTCATGCAATGTATATATGTATACATATTAAAACTAATAGTTAAATGAAATGGCTTTGTACATAAAAACACAAATAAACAAAATGCAATAAATGATGGATGTGAGGTAAATAAAAATGTAGAAGAATTGGAGAACATGAAAATTGAACACAAGAAAAGCTATTCATTTAATTTTGGAAATGGAAAACTCTTGGCCTCGGAAATGGGATAGGAGAAACCGGTTATCCCCGATGAATTCTTCTTAAGGAAAGGTCATAGACAATGAAAAGACTTTTTTAGTGAAATTTTCGAAGGAAATTTATTTTCCAATGAATTGTTCTAAAGAAAAAGTCCCATGCTAGTCATTGGAATCAAATTATTTTATAAATCTACAGTTATAATAGTCCTTGGAAAAAATTATTTAATAAATCCACGTCCATGATTGTCCTCGGAAAAATTTATTTCATAGATATACGTTCCAAGGAAAGGTAATCATCGATGAAATTTTATAATAGAAAAGTCATGAACGATGAACTATTTTAAAGGAGAAGCCATCAAGGATGATTTTTTTTTGCAGGAAGAAGTCACTCATAATTAACTTTTCTACAGGAAAAGTCTACTCTGATGGAAAATGTTATGCCTGATCAACTCTTCTCTATGAAAAGTTATCTCTGATAAACTCTTCTCAAGGAAAGATCATCAACAATGAACAGTTTTCTCCAAGCGATTTTTCTAAAGAAAAAATCTTCTTCAATGAGCTTTTCTAAAGGAAAGGACTTCTTTAAATGATTTTTCTAAAGGAAAAAATCTTCTCAAAAATATTTTTCTATTGGAGAAGACTTCAACGAATATCATTTCTAAAGTAAAAGTCTTTTCCAATTAGTTTTTCTAAATGTAAATTTTTTCTATGGGAGGACTCATCTAAAATAATTTTCTTATGAGGAACTTTTTTAAAATTCTGTTCTTTTTCGGCGAATTTTTTTTTTTGAAGGGAAAATCTTCCACAAAGAAATGTTATAAAGGGAAAGTTTACTACAAAGACAAAAGTACTCTACGAATAACTTTTCTTAATGAAAAATCTTCTTCAAAGAAATTTTCTAAAGGAAAAAACATCATCCAAGAAATTTTCTTAAAGAAAAGTCTTCTTTTCTAAAGGAAAAGTCTTCTCTGAAAAACTTTTCTAAAGAAAATGTCTTCTCCAAAGACAATTTCTGATGGAAAAGTCTTCACTAAAGAACTTTTCTAAAGGAAAAGTCTTCTACGAAGAATTTTTCTAAAGGAACAGTCTTCTACGAGGAATTTTTCTAAAGGAAAAGAACTTTTCTAAGGGAATTTCTTCTACGAAGAACTTTTTTAGAGGAAACGTCTTATCCAAGGAAATTTTCTAAAGGAAACATCTTCACTAAAGAATTTTTCTAAAAGAAAAGTCTTCTACAAAGAACTCTTATTAAGAAATAATCTTCTACGACTAATTTTATAAAAGAAAAGTCCTATACGAAGAATTTTTTCCTACGAAGAACGTTTCTAAAGGAAACGTCTTCTCCAAAGAGATTTTCTGAAGGAAAAGTCTTCACTAAAGAACTTTTCTAATAGAAAAGTCTTCTACGAAGAATTTTTCTAAAGGAAAAGTCTTTTACGAAGAACTATTCTTAAGGAAACATCTTCTACGAATAATTTTCTAACAGAAAAGTCCTATCTGAAGAACTTTCCAAAGAAAAAATATCTTTTCACAAATAACTTTTCTAAGGGAAAGGTAGTCTAAGAAGAACCTTTCAAAAGGCGCAAATTCTCTGCGATGAATTTTTGCGAAAGGAAAAATTATTCTGAGTACTTTTCAAACGAATAAAAGTAATTTCTGATAAAATTTTCTACAAGGAATTTCCAAATACTTTTCTAAAAGAGACGTCTCCCATAAAATCTTTTCTGGAAGAAACCGCTTAAACAAATTAACTTTTCTAAAGAAAAGCCCTTCAAAGAAAATCTTTTCTAAAAGAAAAAGCTTCTAAGAAAAACTTTTCTAAAGAAAGTCTTCAAAGAAAAACTTTCTAAAAGAAAATTCTTCTCAGGAGAATTTTTTCAAAGGGGAGAGAAGAGAAGAATTTCTAACGAATTTTACAAAAGAAAAATTCTTCTCAAGAAAACTATTCCTCAAGGAAAACTCATCACCAATAAATTTTCTTAACGAAAAACTCATCTTCAATGTATTTTCCTAAAGGCTTAGTCATCTTCAATGAAATTTCCCAAAGAAAAAGTAATCTCCGAACAACTCTTCTTTGTGGAAATACACATTCTATGAATTTTGCTATTAAGAAATTTTCAATTTCAACAATTCTCTTCTATTCCTCTACATTTTTTCTTTACCAACAAAAAAAAAAAATTTGTGGAAATTATTACAAATATTTTACAAGAAAAAAAATAATAAAAACTAAATGATTTCAATACAAAATAAATACAAAATTCCAAATTTTTTACAAAAAAAAAAAAATCAAAAAATTTACAAAACTTAATTTTACAAGAAAAAATTACTTTCAAATTATTTAAAAAAAATACAACTTATATATTAGTTTTTTTTCAATAACTACTAAAATTAAATTTCTCTACTAATTCTCTCTTATAGCTTAAAGACAACTTAAATACAAATAAACTTAAAATTTACGATAAAACTAAAAAAATAAAATATGTTTTAAATCTACACAATTTTCATAGGACAGTCCATGTAATCGGGCTCGAGACGCCCCAGAGTTTTCTTTACCCTCAGCGCTGTTAGGCGCACAGTGGGATTTTGATGCCAACATTCTTGCATAATTTTCGCCACAGTGGCCAAGACATCATCCTCTTGCCAACGTGAGGGTATTGGCGGTCTAATGCCCTTAACACACACCACGGCATGCATATCATCGAATGTGGGATCTGAAGGCACAACATCATGATAGGGTAAGGCATAATCTTCACAAGTGGTGGCCTTCGAACCGGGTTTGGTGGTGTAGCAACGTCTGGCCATTTCCCAAAGGACCAAACCAACGGAATACATATCAGCGCGTTTAAATTCTTCAAATTGTTGGGGATTCAACGTTTCATTTAGGACCTCAGGAGCCATATAACGTCTGGTACCAACACGTGTATTTTGGGCGATGTGGATTTCATCCAATTCCGAAATGTATTTAACGGCGAGGCCAAAGTCGGCAATGGCACATTGACCATTGCGTTTAACCAAAATATTTTTACTTTTTATGTCGCGATGGGCAATGGCCGGTTTGCCTGGGGTGCCAAAGATTTCATCATGCAAATGGGCCAAACCGGAGGCTAGAGAATAGGCCAACAGCTGTAATTTTTGTGGATTGATCACCGAGGTGGACAGATAATCATGGAGGCTACCATTCTCATGATAGTCGGTGATTAATAACATCTGGGTCCAGCTGCCGTTACCCTTGATATCGGCTGCAATAAAGCCCAAAATATTCTCATGACGCATTAGGACCGTTTGATAGATTTCTGTTTCACGGAACCATGAAGCCTCTTCGGTGGTAAAGAAGGTTTTGACGGCCACCTTCTCATCACGCCATTTGGCTAGCCATACCTCACCATATCGACCTTTTCCCACTAAGCGAACCATTTGAATTTGTTTGGCAATGGTACGTTGCACCAGCAACGGTAATCCTGATCCTGAACCTGAACTTTGTTCAACCATTTGTGACAGTGGTGAGAGTTGGCTATTACACATACTGCTAATGAGACGTGGCTGTTTCCTCAGTTTCTCTCGTCGCCGATATGTCAGGCAGGCAATCACAACGATGACAACAAACACCGTCACGCAAATTATCATCGATGCTATCATGGCCAAATAGTGGACCGACTGTGAGCTGACTGGCAATTCGGGGGCGGGTGTGGTGATTTTTGGGGTAAAGGCAGGATATAGATTACGATTACACATATCACCGCTATCACAGCAATCGATATTCTTTCCATGCAGGTGGGGGACAACGGCAACTTTGCACTAAAGGAGAGAAATGAAGAGAGAGAGGGGGAGATTTTTAGTATGTGCAAGAATTTGGCTGAGAAAGAGATTTTACTTACCATAAGAAAACCACCATTCTCTTCGGGTGGCATACAACCATATGTCCGCTCCTCTTCATAGGTGCCTGTGACTTCATCGTAAACTTCTTCGACAGCACTGAAACAGGATCCACCGGGCCGGGTTTCGCATGTACCATTGACAACATTATTCGGGCAGCTGCCATCACAGTAGCAGGTTAATGTGCGGGCTAAAATGAGAGAGAGGAGAGAAAAGTAACGGGAGAGTTTAGTATAAAAGTTTGGATAAGAGAAAATATTTAGGATTTAAAAATAAAAAAATAACCAGAAATGGATAAATATGACAAAAAATGTTATCCGAATATGAGCGTTAATTTTTTTAAAAATTATTTTTTTACTTCTACATAAGGCCTGGATTTTTTAAATTGTTTTTTTTTAATTCTACTTTAGGCGTGGATTATTTTAAGAATATTTTTTCAAGGCCTATATAAGGCGTGGATTATTTAAAGAATATTTTCCAAGGCCTATATAAGGCGTGGATTATTTTTCAAGGCCTATATAAGACGTGGATTATTTAAAGAATATTTTTTCAAGGCCTATATAAGGCGTGGATTATTTAGAGAATATTTTTTCAAGACCTATATAAGGCGTGGATTATTTAAAGAATATTTTTTCAAGGCCTATATCAGGCGTGGATTATTTAAAGAATATTATTTCAAGGCCTATGTAAGGCGTGGATTATTTAGAGAATATTTTTTCAAGACCTATATAAGGCGTGTATTATTGCAAGAATATATTTTCAAGGCCTATATAAGGCGAGGATTATTTAAAGAATATTTTTTCAAGGCCTATATAAGGCGAGGATTATTTAAAGAATATTTTTTCAAGGCCTATATAAGGCGTGGATTATTTACAGAATATTTTTTCAAGGCCTATGTAAGGCGTGGATTATTTAGAGAATATTTTTTCAAGACCTATATAAGGCGAGGATTATTAAAGAATATTTTTTCAAGGCCTATATAAGGCGTGGATTATTTAAAGAATATTTTTTCAAGGCCTATATAAGGCGTGGATTATTTAAAGAATATTTTTTCATAGCCTATATAAGGCGTGGATTATTTAAAGAATATTTTTTCAAGGCCTATATAAGGCGTGGATTATTTAAAGAATATTTTTTCAAGGCCTATATAAGGCGTGGATTATTTAAAGAATATTTTTTCAAGGCTTATATAAGGCGTGGATTATTTAAAGAATATTTTTCAAGGCCTATATAAGGCGTGGATTATTTAAAGAATATTTTTTTAAGGCCTATATAAGGCGTGGATTATTTAAAGAATATTTTTTCAAGGCCTATATAAGACGTGGATTATTTAAAGAATATTTTTTCAAGGCCTATATAAGGCGTGGATTATTTAAAGAATATTTTTTCAAGGCCTATATAAGGCGTGGATTATTTAAAGAATATTTTTTCAAGGTTATATAAGACGTGGATTATTTAAAGAATATTTTTTCAAGGCCTATATAAGGCGTGGATTATTTAAAGAATATTTTTTCAAGGCCTATATAAGGCGTGGATTATTTAAAGAATATTTTTTCAAGGCCTATATAAGGCGTGGATTATTGCAAGAATATTTTTTCAAGGCCTATGTATGGCGTGGATTATTTAGAGAATATTTTTTCATGGCCTATATAAGGCGTGCATTATTTAAAGAATATTTTTTCAAGGCCTATATAAGGCGTGGATTATTTAAAGAATATTTTTTCAAGGCCTATATAAGGCGTGGATCACTTAAAGAATGTTTTTTCAAGGCCTATATAAGGCGTGGATCACTTAAAGAATGTTTTTTCAAGCCCTATATAAGGCGAGGATTATTTAAAGAATATTTGTTCAAGCCCTATATAAGGCGAGGATTTTGTGGACATTTTATCCATATTATCCAAAGCCTCAGAAACGTTATTTAAATGATCCAAGAAGTCTCTAAACATATTTTACAACATCGCTGACTCTAATATATTTAAAAGAAATCGGTACCTAAAAAATAATTTCATAAAATCCTCTTTTCTATACTTAAGGTACTGTAGGGTATCACAAAGTTGATCTCCTTCCACCTTTTGTATTTTCTTCCTACTGCTACACTTTGTAACACATAATATTACGATAAAAAATAAATTGAAGATCAAAATCTATAACGTTTAGCATTTAAACACAAAATTACTTCATTTCATTACGATAAAATATGCTTCCCTTCACTCAAAAATACCAATCTCTTCAAAGAGAACTCTTAACATCACTTAATAAATTCATGTAAAATATATCGTATACGCTCATAATTCTCAACACTTTATATCCGCAACATAGAGGTAACCTAGTAGTGGTCTAAGAGCCGCACCGGGTATATTGTCATAAACTTCAAGTTATTTATAATCTCCATAGGAAAGCTCTTTCAAACAAATACGTCCGACCACCAATAATAATACCTTCTGATTTCTTATCTAAAAGAGAAGCAACAACAACATCGAAATAATGCCGCTTTTGATGTTCTGTTTTCTTTCTCCCTCTCTCTCCGAATGATATGACTACATAATTATTGCCGACCAACAAACATAGAGAGTGTTCCGAAAAAAAAACACTGTTAATTAGCTGTGATTACAACGCGTGTAAACAATAATTAAATTCAAGTCGAAAAAATGCCTTCTTCCTCCTCTATCGGTGGGGCTTTTCATTTCAAAAATTGCATTTCCTCCATAATAATGATAACATATGAATGACAACAACAAATAGTAAAACATAGGGAGCTGCCGCCAAAAGACATTGTTGTTGCTGTTGTTGGCCACTTATAATAAAAGAAAATGTAATGTGTTGGTCAACAACAAAGTATTAGTTGATGATGATGGAGACGACAATAACTTTATGATGTTGGGAACAGCTACTGTTTGCCCAGGTTTGAATGCAACAAAAAAGAAAAGGGGAGTTGGGTCTGAAAAAAATGAGGAAACATAAAAAAGGAATGGATGAAGAGACGAAATGTGTTGGAACAAAAACGGAGGCTGCATAGTTTGTTGTCTGGCCTGAATCATAAAAATATGAATTTTATTAATTAGAACAACAATAAAAAGAAACAACAAAGGAGAAGTACAAAAAAATTAATAAAATCGAAATATTGAGAATTGAACAGGGAAAACATATAATGGAGGGGAGGTATATTAAATTGGAGATATAGTTGGAAATTATATAATGAAACCTGTCATGAAAGTAGTAAAGTCGGACTGGGCCGACTATATGATAACCTTCAACACTTTGGGTATATTCTACATATGTATGCTAACAGACGTCGCTTTTTGAAGGAACATTGACATGAAATTGAACGAACTTAAATAAGTGATTCTTATCTATATCTAAGACGACTAAAATAAATCCCTACACATGTCATTCTGCAACCTCTGCTAATTTTTGTAAGCCGATTTAAAGCAAACTTGACACACGCATATTTGGTATTCTGCACGTTTTGAAATTTAATCTCAATAAGGCATTCATTGATTACTCGGTGTACAATTAACATGAATAGGTCGAAATTATATATGGAAGCTATGCTATACCTATATCTGAAACGATTTTAAGGAAACTTCCAAGAGATAAATTTATATTAACTTCAGTACCTTGTGTCAATCGGCCTAGGTGTGGAAATTTAGTGCACAATTTACTTAATATCGGACGAAAATATATATAGGAGGTGTAGGTAAATCTGATCCGATTTTCACGAAACTTAGCACACATTCATTTAGTACGCTATGCCAAAATTCGTGAAAATCAGAAGATTTGAAGGGACTTTGGTGCACCATTTACATAAAATCAAACGAAAATATATATGAGAGCTATATCGAAATCTGAACCGATTTTCACGAAACTTGGCAGACATCATTCTAGGCTCAATTCAGTACGCCATGCCAAATTTCGTGCAAATCGAAAGATATATAAGTACTTTGGTGCACCATTTACCTAAAATCGGACGAAAATATATATGGGAGCTATATCTAAATCTGAACTGATTTTCAAGAAATTGTACACACATCATTCTATACTAATACTAATTCTAATTCATTACGCTGTGCCAAATTTCGTGCAAATCGAAAGATATATAGGGACATTGTTGCACCATTTACATTAAAACGGACGAAAATGTATATGGGAGCTATATCTAAATCTGAACCGATTTTCCCCAAATGCAATAGGGTTCGCCCTTGGGCCAAATAAGTGACCTATGCTAAATTTTATTCAAATCGGATCATAAATGTGACCTGTACTTTGTTCACAAAAATACATGGACGGAAAGTCGGACAGATAGACAAGCGTAAATCGACTCAGAAAGTGATTCTATGCGGATCATAAATGCGACGTGTACTTTGTTTACAATTTAACATCTACAGACAGACGGACATGCGTAAATCGACTTAGAAAGTGATTCTCTGCATATTCTCAAAAAGAACCATGGGTCTATCTCGTTTCCTTTTGCCTGTTACAAACATATGCACAAATTCATAATACCCTGTACCACAATGTGGTGAAGGATATAAAAAGAAGAATATTGGCTACCAACATATGTCCATGAATGTGGTCCCAGGCACTGATATGGTATTAATTTTATTTATCTCTGAGTATAAAAATACACCTGCCGAAATTTTTTCGATTAAGATCAACGTTTTGGCAGTTTTGGTGGCATTTCAAGGTACCGACCATATTAAGGGTATGTTAAGTTTTTATTCCAAATTTCCAGACGAATTTTTAATTTGTAGTCGCATTATGCTTTACAGACTTCCGGGTAAAAATTGTGAACCATTTTAGCAGTTTTAGCAGTTCCGGTTCACAGAGGACCAAAAAATTCCGACAATAAAAAAATTCAGCATAGGTTCACTTTTCGATATAATCGTTCTATATATGGAAATTTGTTTTCTAGTCTATTTTTACCATCTGAAGTGATTATAATTGGGAATTTCGGTGCACCCGCATTTTTTTATTAAGGTTTATTTTTAGCCATTTTCTTCAATAAAATAATCCCATCCTGCTTTTTATGAATTTTTAAGGTTCTAATCGCATTTCAATGCAATATCAGGATCTCAGGGGATAAAATATGTGTTAGGAGAAAATGTTGAACATTTATCCAAATTTGAATGGGTCTATTTTTAGCCATATCTTCTATAAAATAATCCCGTCCTGCTTTTCATGAATTTTAAA